CAACCTCCTGATTCGTAGTCAGACGTCATATCCAATTAGACAACTGGCCCATATTCCAACAGCCTTCGATTGAATCGAAAAATTCATTCAGAATAACGACCGCACTATGGCTGTACCTTTTGGTATTGGAAACGTTCGATTCGAATGTTTTAAATCTTTCGAAAGAAAAAAAAAACATTTTCAAAACGTCAAATCGAAACACTTCAAAATTATCAAATCAAATCAAGATCCGATCAAAACAAAAAAAAAAAGTTGTAATCTTTTAACATAATGTTTGTTCTCAGTCAATCAATCAATCAATTAAAAGAATTTTTTCTGTTGTTGCAATCCAATGATGATGATAACAACCAAAACATTTAATCCCGACGCGAATAACTCTGTTGTTGACAAAAACCAAGCAAGCAAACAAAATCTTTTGATTTTATCGATAATAAGAATCTTTTTTGCAATACACCAGTCAGACAGCCGATAACCTACCATCAAAGAGAGTGAAAGGAAAATATTTTTGTTGTTTGTCTTGACAACCATCAGCCATCAGCCATCATAATCATCATCAGATCAGATCACCATCGATCCACCACCGTTTTTTTNTTGTTTGTCTTGACAACCAAAACAGCCATCATAATCATCAGATCAGATCAAACATCGATCCCCCATCGTTTTTTTTTTGTTGATAATTTTCATTTCATTTCTCCGTTAACATTCCATTCATCTTTTTTGTTTTTTTGTTTGTTAACACTTTACGCGTTTTGTTTTCATAATTTTTTGTCCAAAAAAAGAATTTATGAAAAAAAAATTCTTTCGTTGAACAGAAAAAACACTGATTATCACTCATCATCATCATTATCGTTGTTTCCTGGCAAACGCGTCATTATCATCATCATTAATCGTCATCAACAACAACAACGAAATCATCATCATCATTAACAGAAATTAACACTAAATTCTCCTAGATTCGTGCCCATTCATTTGATAAAAAAATTATAATAATTTGTTGTTGTTGTTGTTGTTGTTGAATCTATGCTTTGATTTGTTGATGGTTGTTCAATCAATCAATCAATCATTTATCATCGATAAATGTGATGTTTGTCTGTTTAGTTTTGAATTTTGATTTTTTTTTCTAAAATAGCCACCATTCGATTGATCACCAATCACCAACATATCAATAATAATAATTATCTGGAATGATCAATTAAACAGAACAAACAAACAAACAACGATCGTCATTTGATCATCGTTTAAATTTGGAAAAAAAATTTGAATATTTTTAACAATCAAAAAAAAACTTTGTTTTTGTGGTTTTTGCAATTTTCCATTTTTTCACAATTTTTCACAGTGATACTCATCCAAATGATTCGAAAGATTTTTACCAAAACAAAAATGTTAAAATCAATATTTTTTTCATTGTTATTTCTGATGATTATTTGTTGTCGACAATCATGTTTAGCTCGTTCAGGTTTGTTTTTGTTTTGATTTCAATCGAATGTTTTTTGAGAAAATTTCAATCTTTTTGGTTTTCCCCCCCGGTCAGATGAATGTACCGATTGGTATGAAATATGTAGCCAATTTCAATTGGGTATAAGTCCATCCAAATATTGTATTGGAAAAACATTATATTTTTTTCCAAATTTTATGACCGATTGGGAATCGGCACGTTCATATTGTTCCGGAATATTCTATGGTTATCAACGTGGTGATTTATTTTATTTTGATGAAAAATCTGATGATTTGGATTCAGATTTACGAATATTATTAGAAAATTATCAACCAGAAAATCAGGAATTTCCAACCAATGCTTTATGTTGTCCAACAATTCCGGATATTTCTCATATTTCTAAATATTCATCAACACCAACATCATTAACATATGATATTCAATGTAAATGGTTACATAATGGTGAATTGATTGATGAAGAATATTATCAAAACATTCGATTTGATCCAATGGATCAATGTCATTTTTTAATGATTAATCTTGACAGTAAAACTGGTGCAAAATTTTCAAGGTAAATACATTTTGTTCATTGATTTCTTTGAATAATAATCTCTTGATCTTCTTCTTCTTCGTTTCATCATTCTTCGTTTCTTCCATCAAATCAGATCAGTCGATGTTTCATATGCAGGTGTTACACAATTTATGTGTACATATCGAAGACCACCGAAATGCGAGTAAGTATTCTCTCTTTGTGTTTCCTTTCTGGAAAATTTTCTTCCAATTTTTCATTGTTTCTTGGAAATTTTCTCCCAAAAAAGTGATCATAAAACAACATCGACAACAAATATAGTTCCGACGAAAATCACTCCAGAACCAACAACAACACCATCGACAACAACATCGACAACAACATTAGGACCAATTTATTGTCATGAATTAATTGATCAATATGGTTTTCATTGGCCATCAACAAATATTAATCAAACAGCCCGTTTACCTTGTCCAACGAATTTTATAGGTACAGCTGAATGGTTATGTGGTTCGAATGGTCAGTTTGTTTCGAATGGACCATCGATTCATTGTTATGCTGAATGGATTGATGAATCGGAAAAAAATTTAGAAAAAATTAAAAATATGAAACAACTATCGAAAGAAGTACGACATTTTCAATCAAATATTGTTGAAAAACCATCAAAATTTTTTAAAGATTTCAAACAAATTATTAATGTTATACAAAAAATTGAATTTATTTATGAATCATTTGTATCGAATGAGAATATTGAATCATCTATACATGATGTTCGTAATATAACCGAATCAATGGTTGAAAGTTGTGCAATAATTATTGAACGAGAATCGATTTGGCAACAAAGTCAACGACATGATCGTATAATGGTTGCAGGGAAAATATTGAATTATATTCATGATAGTGGCCTAACAATGGGTTGTTATCAGATTAAAAACGAATCTGATTCAGATTCTGGACATCAAAAAATTGAACCAATAAAATCCGAAATCAATCCGAATATCTTTATGGATGCATTCAATATGGATCATGAACAACCAATCCAATTTGATCATTTGAATTATGAATTTTCATTAAGAAAACCAATCAAATCTTCAAATACTGATAATGTCTCGGATTGGTGTCCACATCGTTTAGCAATTGGTGCATTATTTCAAAAATTATCTCGTTATATGTTTGATGAACATTTGCAACCAGAAACAAAAATGAATTCAGAAATTATATCATTTAGTTATAATAATTTTAGTAGAAAAACCTATCCATTAACGGATGGTAATGAAGCACGAATGAAATTAATACATCATCAACAAATGGAATTTGGTATGAAAACAAAATGTGTATATTGGAATTTTCAAACAAATCTTTGGTCATCAAATGGATGTTATGTTATTGAACAGGAATCTGATCGTCATCATACAACATGTGCTTGTGATCACTTGACAAATTTTGCCGTAATAATGGATATTAGTGGACAAGAACGACCATCAAAATTGAAATCAATTCTAACGATAATAATGTGTACATTATCGATTATCTGTTTGGTGATGACGGTTATATTCTTATTGATTTGTCATGAATTAAAATCACGTCGTAATTCAATTATAATTAATATTTCAATAATGATGATTATTATTGATCTGTTGGTTATATTTGGTTTAGATCGTACTGAATATCCGGTAAGTGTCGTTTTTGTTTTGTTTTTGGATTATCCGGGTTAATAATTTTTGTTGTTTTTTTAACCCCCCGTTACCACCATCATCATCATTACCAAGATATTATGTAAATCAATATCCATATCATTATTATATACAATGTTATCATTATTTTTTTGGATGTTAATGGAAGGTTATAATCTTTATCAAATGATGATATTTATTTTCAATACAAAAGGTCATTTACGTATGTTATATTTATATTTAATTGGTTATGGGTTACCATTATTAATAACAATACCGGCAACAATTTATATGCAATTAAAAACTGAATTAAGCAATGAATATTTGTAAGTAATTTTTTAGTATCTTTTTTTTTGGTTGAAATTAACTAATTTTAATTTTAATTTTTGTTTTGTAATCACTAATTTCAGCTGTTGGATAACATCGACAAAATATCCCGGACAAATATGGTTTCTAGCAGGTCCGGTTACCATAATCATCATTATCAATACATTCATTATGATAAGGGTGATGAAAATTGTTTTATCAAAAAATGCCCGAAATTCATTTGTACATCAATCATCGTTTAATAATAATCCTTCAACATCTACATCAACTAAAAATGGTGGTAGAAACAAATCATTATCAACAACAACAAATGGTCATTTTGGTAAAAATATTTCACAAAATCAACATACGATCGGAGCTAAACAACGAAAACAATCAGATAGGATTAATGGAAAAGTGGATAATCCTTCATCATCATCATCAACTGATGTTATTAGTTTTGAACAAAGAAAAACTGAATGGTTTACATATTTAAAAGGATTTTTTGGGTTAATTATTTTGATGGGTATTACATGGATTTCCTATGTACTTTATATTCATCAATTTGGTCATTTTTTTTCCTATGTTTTTATCGTTATGAATGGATTACAGGTAATTGTTTAGTTACTTTGTTGCGGCTAAGACGTTAATTCTATTCTTTTTTTTTGTTAACCCATTTTCAACCATATAGGGTGTATTTATTTTTATTACACAATTTATATTTAATCGCAAAGCAATGGATGCTGTTAAGAAAAGATTATGTAATTTTGGTGATTTTGGTTCATCATTTACATCATCAACAACAACATCATATTTATCACAAAAACGTATTAGTAAACAATCAACAAATAATAATATCAATAATAATAATAACAAAATCAATTCACAACCAACAAATGGTAGAAAAAATAACGATAATAATGATGGTGATGATGATGATGATATTTTATCATCGGATAAATATCCATATAATGTACTTATTGATCGTACAACATCGTTTGAATATTAACACATTTTTCTCGCCTTTCTGTACAAATTTTTTTTTTGTTTTGTATTCACATTCACATTCCATTCATTCACATAAATCATCAAAAAATAAAAAATAAAAAATTTGGTTCGAAAAAAATCCCACCATTTCTTTTCGTTTGAAATGTTATTTTAACTAAATTTGGAAACAAGTTATTCTCGATTTTGTTTGTCGTCGTTCGTTTGTTGTTGTTGATGATGATTAGAATATTTGGCACCCACACACACACACAAACTAACACACATAGCAACAACCGGATTTATTATCAAGGTGCAGATATTTTTTCAATGTTTTTTTTAACTAATAAAAAAAACTAATCACCAAAATGGACACAATGAAATTTCTTTTCTTTTTTTTTCGTTTTGATAAATTCCAACACATGCTATCATCATGGTAACAGACTTGTGATTTGATTTGATTTTGATGCGATGTCTGCATGAATGATAAACGGGGATCATTTGATTCAAGAAGATTTTTATCTTCATTAAATCAACATTCAATAAATTGATAATAATTTTAAGTTCAATAGATTTTTGTTTCTTTCGTCGAAAAAAAAGTATTTCTTTTCAGGATCAAGTTCAAGTTAGAATTTTTTTAAAGAACCTTTTGCCTGTTTCTGCAATTGGCGCCAATCGACATTTTTGAAAATTATGGCCATAATAACCGAATCAGCTGATTTTATTGACGCTGCTGCTGCAGACGAAAATCAATCATTTGTGAGCCAAAACAATAACCAAAATGATGATCATGTTGTGATTGTCAATTCGCATCGTCCAATTGTCATTTCTTCTCAATCTGAATCGATTAATAATCATAATCATCGTAATTCAAATATAAAACATACAAGTGTCATTCAACAACCATTGACATCGATGCAAACCAAATTCATAATCGTTTTGCTGGCTGTTTGTAATTTTTTCATTGCAAATGGTGTTTCATTACAGGGTCCTTTTTTCCCAAAAGAAGCTGGTAAGCAAATCGTTAATTTGAATTCATTGATATTTCACATTGGTTTTTCTTTCACAGAACAAAAAGGAGTAACACCATTAATCTATTCATCAATATTTGCCATCTATGAATTGATCATGTTAATCACATCGTTTTTATTTGGAAATTTTGCCGAAAAATTTAAACCAAATCGAATGTCCGGTTTAGGATTAATATTGACCGGTCTGGCAACAACAGCATTCGGTTTCATAACCTACCTGAATGTTCGAATTGAATTTGTTTTGATTGCTTTCACGTTAAGAATCATTGAATCACTTGGTGCAACTGCATTTGCAACAAGTTCATATTCATTCATTAGTGTTTGTTTTCCCGATCGTACAGCAACAATGTTTGCAACAATGGAAATGTTTTTCGGTCTTGGTGTCATAACTGGTCCGGTTATTGGTGGTTTTCTTTATAATTTTGATGGTTTTTTATTGCCATTTTTAACCAATGGTATTGTTATTATTATTTTCGGTATTATATTGATTAGTAAACCGGTGGAAAAATTATTTTATCATGGTAAATTGATTGGTCAAATGCAAACACATAATACGGGTAATGATAATGATGGTGGTAATTATCTTGATGCAAATGATGATCAAGAATCGAATACATTGATTTTACCGATAAATGAATCATCATCATCATCATCGGAAACATCGAACGTTCGAAATGATTCGTCCATCACTACTATCGAAAATCCAGAAGTAACATTAGGAAGTTTTCTTTCATCAACAATCGTTTTAATCGATTCGTTCATCATCATAACGGCAATAACATTGATGGGTTTCAATGGTGCAACATTAGAACCATTCATTCGTCATGAAGGTATATCCAATCAAACATTACATACAAGTTTAATGTTTGTTGCACTTGGTGCATCATATTCATTTTCGGCATTATTTTGGGGAAAAATTTGTGATAAATTTCCATCATTTTTAATTTGTTTTGCATTGGCCGGTTCTTTCGTTACCGGTATTGGACTGTTATTTTTAGGACCAGTACCATTTCTACAATCAACAATTCGACCAACACTATTGACCATAAGTTTATGTATGATATTATTTGGTATTGGTACAAGTTCAAAACAAGTTGCCGCATATACACATGCATTAAATCATACGATAATTGCGAGGAAATTTCCAAAAAATCAAAAAACTTATGGCCTTATATCGGGAATGTTTTTCTCTTGTCTTTCGTTTGGTGGTTTTATTGGACCAATTATTGGTGGTTCATTATTACAATGGTCGGATTTTCATCTAGCAACATTTGTTATGTTTTCAATTGAATGTTTTGTATTTTTAATATTATTGATACTTCAATGTTTTTATCGTCGTTCAACAACAACAACCATCAATCAATCGACTACAGCAACAGATTTAAGATAATTATGTAAAATAAAGAAATGGAAATTGATTAATATAAACCCCAAAAGAATCAAATTTTTGTTCGGTTTGCGCATGATCACTGCGTTTTGTTTTTGTTATGGTTTTTCGGTGTTTTTTTTCGTTTTTTCGAGGTTGAATATTGGTCGAATCAGCTGATTTATCCGATTTTTTTAACCAAAAAAATCAAGAAATATTCAAATATTATGCATTGAACATCAAAAATGCAACGAACATTGAATAATTGTTTGCGAAAATATAATCATGGTAATGTACGTCTTGGTCGAAATTGTTTATCAACAGCAAAACAACAATCAAATTTTGAAATATTATTACCAAATAATGATAATTATTATGAATCAGCATCCGATATACCAAATGAAGCTAAAGTATTGATTTATGGTGATGAATTAGTATCGAAAGCATTAGCATATCATTTAAGTGATCAATTAGGTTCGAATGTTGTTGTTATTCGAGGTCATGGACCACGTGATGATCAGGAAAAATCTGTATCATATTCAACATTGAATAGTTTTTTTATGACACATTTGATTGTATCGAATCCACGATCATCATTATTAATTCGTCATAGTGCTGATTTATATAATGTTACAAATTGTGGTGCAATATATTTGGCACAAACTGAAGAACGTGTAAAATCATTTAAACGTATGATTTCCATTTCAAAACTATTTATACCAAAAGAAAGTGGTGATATGGAACTATTATCACCGGAAGAAATCAAACGACGACATGATTTTATTGATACGAATAAAATTAAATGTGGTATTCATGTACCATTTGATGGTGTTGTTATGGATCGTCGAGCTGAAGAGGAAAAATTGGAAAAATATGCTCGCCAAAAAGGTGTACAATTTTTTGATGAATTTATTTTGAATAAAATTCATGTGAATAATGATCGTGTTTCGAATATTGAGGTTTGTAGTTTTCGATGTTTTTTTTCAATTTTATAGGATTTTTCATTAAAGTTTCATTCTTCTCGTTTTTAGCTTTTACATCCGATTACACATGAAGTTGCAAAAATACGTTGCGAATATTTTGTCAATTCGGCCAATAATTATCTAAGTCGTAGTATTGGTAAATGTAGCCTTACGAAAGTACGTGTACCATCGATGGCATGTGAACATCAATTGTTGGTTACCGAACCGTTCGATTTACCTGGACAACAACAATCAACCGACGGACAATCAACCGGTCCATTAATACCAATTATCAATGATTTTGATAATCGTACCACTGTTTATCAACGTTTAGATCGAACATTTGTATTGACTGGTTATGAAAAAGTATCGAATGTTGTTCGTAAACTATATCGATCTCGTAGTAAAGATTATCCTGTTGATGTTGAAATACCAAAAATACCTGTACGATGGAATCATTTTTATTATCTTTTGGATCCTATTTTAAATCGTATCCCTGCATTACGACAAGCAAAATATCGTCAATTATATACAAGGCCGGAAAATTTTACACCTGATGGTCGACCATTAATAGGTGAAGTTGCTGAAATTAAAAACTATATTATTGCAGCAGGTGTTTGGCCATCATTAACCGGTGGTACAGCAAAATTGTTGGAAGAATTAATATTGAATAAACCAAATTCATTTCAACATGATTTTTGGTCATTAGATCCAAAACGTTTTATCCCACTACATTCAAATCGAATATTTTTATTTGATCGTTTACGTGAAATACCGGCAAAAGCACGTTATAATATAAATTTTCCAACACCACATAATAGTTATCAAACTGGACATGGTTTACTTCGTAGTCCACTTTATAAACGTTTAAAAGATGCTGGTGCTTATTTTACACAATATATGGGACATGAAAGACCAGCTGTTTACCTGAGTAAAGAAACTGAACCATATCGTACTGAATCAGAAGATTGTGGTATACTTGAAGAACGTGTACTAGAAACACCATCATTTGGTAAACCACATTGGTTTAATGCAATTAAACAAGAATATAATGCTTGTCGTGAACGTGTTGCTATTTTAGATTATACAAGTTTTGCTAAATTTCAAATATCATCTGTACATGATGAAGCATTAGAATTATTACAATATCTTTGTTCAAATAATGTTGATATACCGATTGGTTCGATTGTATTGACAGGTTTGTTGTTTTTTCATTGAAATTTTCCGCAAATTTTCTTAATTTTGTCACATTTTACCCACCTACAGGAATGCAAAACGATCGTGGTGGTTTTGAAAATGATGTTTCAATCGTACGTTTGAATGAACGAAATTTTTTCCTAATTGGACCGACTGAAAGTCAAACTCGATGTATGGCATGGTTACGTTCGAATGTTTTGGAAGATGATTTTGATCAAATTGCTATACGTGATGTTACTAATGATTTTACAGCCATTTGTATTATGGGTCCTTATGCAAAATTATTGCTGATCGATGTTGTTGTAGCTGCTGCTTTAGCAATGAAAGAACCTATTGAAAAATATATGAAACAATTAGATCAATTTCCATTTTTTACAGCCAAAGAATTACCGATTGGTTCGACAAAAACACCAGTTTTGGCTTGTAATCTATCACATACTGGTGAACTTGGTTTCGTTCTGTATATGCATAATCAACAAGCAGTACAATGTTATGATCAATTAGTTGCTGCCGGTATTAAATATGGTATACAACATGCCGGTAGTATTTGTGTTCGGTCATTACGTATTGAAAAATTTTTTGCATTCTGGGGACAAGATCTTGATTCCACATCAACACCATTAGAATGTGGTCGTGGTTTTCGTGTTTATTATGATAAAAATTTTTTGGGTAAAGAAGCTTTATTACGACAAAAACGTGAAGGTTGTAAACGTCGTTATGTACAATTATTATTAGATTCATTTGATATTGATAAAGAACCATTATGGCCATGGGGTAATGAACCAATTTATTTAGCCAATAATGGTAATGGTGATAATGATCCAAATGCTAAACCAGTTGGTATGACAACAACAACTGCATATGGATTTACATTAGGTCGAATGGTTTGCCTTGGTTATATCAGTCATCCAGATCCAAATGTAACCATCACAAATGATTATATTTTAGGTTCAAATTTCGAAGTGGAAGTTGGTGGTAAACGTTTTAGTGCACATATTAATTTACATTCACCAAAATTAACTGATGTCAGTGGTACGTATATGCCTTCAACAACAACAACAACAACAACAATGTCATCGAACGTTTCTTGAAGATTTTCTTTCGTTAAACATGTGATAATCGCAAAGAATTTATTGTTATTTTAATATTATGTTTGATTTTTATGTTTTGTTAAATATTTATTTGTGAAATGAAATGAAAAAAAATGAAAAAAAAATCCAAATTGAAAAATCATTGAATTAAAAAAAATCGAAGGTTTTTCTTTAAAATCTTTTTCCGTTTTTTACCGATTTTAACCTAAACATGATTGATTTGTTGAAATAGTCATTGCATCATAATAACCGTAAATGTTTCGAATGAATTGATATATTTGGTGTTGACAATTATCAATTGTAAATCAAATCAAAATCGATAATCGATAATTTCAATCAACTTTTTTTACAATAATGATAATTGTCTATTAACACTTATCTTGACGGTTGATAATAGTTGATGAAAGAAGAAGTTGGAAACAAACAAACAAACAAACAACAGCCAAAAAATCATCAATCAATCCCATGATACATTATGCGACGTTACTTTTATAATTATTCGATTATTGAATGTCAATCAATATTTTCAACAACAACAACCAGAAAAAAAAGAAGACGATCATTAACAAAATCAATTGAAAAAATAATCAAAAAAAAAAAAATTGATTAGAAAATTGTCAAGGACAATTATCGGCATTTGATTATATAAAAATGGTGAATAACTAAGCTTTAGCTGTCATTTCAATCATTTTCAATTCAATTCAAATCAAATTCAAATTATCGAAACTAAGTCCAGAAAACATACAAGATGTTTTCAACAATATTTAGGGATTTTTTATTAAATCCATATCTTTTGTATATAATATCCGTTGTAATAATTATCTTTATAATATGGAGATTATATATTGAATTTTATGAATATCTAATTAAAGAACAATGTCGACGACAAAATCTAAAATTTGTTCGTATACCAAGTCAAAGTATGGCATTATTACGTAAAAAACGTTATGATATTGTTGAAACTGAATTGGTTAAAAAGAATGGTAAATTATTTGGTGCTAATATGCTTAATGAAATGACTATTTATGTTGCTGATGCTGAATTAGTACAAATTATTTGTAATCGTGAATTTACTAAATTTTCAAATCGTAGAGTAAGTATTGACATTAACATTTTACTATAATTAAAGTTACAAATTTGTAAAAATTTTTCTTCGTTGATTAGGTATTTTTACTTGAAGATCCTGTTTGGGATAATTTATTGTTTGCAACCAATGATGATAAATGGAAACGTTTACGTTCAATAATGTCACCGGCATTTTCCAGTGGAAAATTACGTAAATTTAAATATTGTATTGATGATACGTTTAAAATTATGGCAATGAATCTGGATAAATCGATTGCCAGGGATCCGGTTATTAATGTTAAACAATTGGTCGGTGCATTTACAATGGATACAATCATACAGATATCGATGGGTATGCGAATTGATTCATTAAAAGATCCAAACAATTTGATTATTAAATATGCACGAAAATTATTTGGTCATGATATAAACATACGTGATACGCTTGTATTTTTTATTGCATTTTTTCATCCAAAATTATTGAAATATCTTCATCTTAGATTTCAAGGTGAAGCAATTGATTATTTTAAAAAATGTGTACTAGAAATTGTAGAGAAAAAACGTAAAGAAATGAAAAACCGTCAGGAATCGATGAAAGCAACAAATTTTATTGAATTAGTTTTGGAAGTAGAAAAAGAACAAGAATCAATGATGAGCCAACAACAACAACAACAGAATGGAAATGCTAAACCATTTAAACGTAAGTTTTGAGCAAACAATGTCTATTTTAACTTTTGTTTTGTTTTTCTTTGTTCCGCACCAAAAGATATTACCATTGATGAAATGATTGCACAATGTATAACATTTTTTACTGTTGGTTATGATACAACAGCCACAACCATAACAAATACCTGTTATACAATGGCAACAAATCCGGAAAAACAGGAAAAACTTTATAAAAGTATCATTGAAACATTGAAACAATTGGCTAATGAAAGAGATGATGGTTGTAATGATCCTTACGAGTTGATTACATTCGATACATTGAATCGTTTTGAATATTTGAATGCATGTTTAAATGAATCAATGAGATTTTTAACATTAGTTGCTGCTACCGAAAGATTAGCAACCGAAGATTGTCGTATTGAAACAAGTGATAAAAAAATTTGGTTCAATGTTAAAAAAGGTAATGTTATTCGTATACCGATACTTAGTCTGCATAAAGATTCGGAAAATTTTTCTCAACCTGATCAATTTATACCGGAAAGATTTTTACCAGAACAAAATGATGAAAACAATGAAAGAAATTTTAATAAATATGCATTTATGCCATTCGGTACTGGACCAAGAAAATGTATTGCATCAAATTTAGCCATTTTAGAAGCAAAAATGGCATTAATACATTTATTTCGTATGTATCGTTTAAGTGTTGATCAAAAACGTACAAAAATACCAATCGATTATTATATAAATGCTGATTTATTAATTTCAAAAGATGTTTATTTACATGTTGAACAACGATTATAATAATTTTTTAAAAATGTAATCTTTTTTTCTTGTTGTTGTTGTTGAAAATAAATATTTTTTTTTTTTAAGAAGAAATTTCCCAATTTACCTAATAATTATCAATCAATAATCGATCAATTGGGTCGATTTTTGTATGAATCAATCAATCAATCAATCAATAAGAAAAATATGATGATTTTCAAAAAAAAAAAAAAAAAAAATTCACTGAACAACAACAACAACAATATTACCCATGGATTTTTTTTTTTTTTTGTACTTGAATTTTTGCACTTTTGCATTTTTTGTACTTAAAGTAAATTTTTTTCGTAATTTATATCATATCCAAAACGAAAAATTGATAAAAAACCAAACAAACAAACAAATTAATCCAAAACAACAACAAAATGATTATTCGTTAATCGAATTTTGTACTTAACCATTCAGTTACCATAATCATCATTCGATGTTCATCACAAGATTTTTTGTTTGATGATTTTATTATCATCAATCATCGGAGAAAAATGTTAAATGTCCCATTAGATTATCAATAATGATTATTGGTTTGATTGATTGATTGATCGATTTTTCTTTTCATGTTTCTTTCTCGTTGTTGTCTGGACTTTTCACATATATAAATACTAACATATCCAGTATGGAATCATATTCATCTAGTTTTGATTTAAATTCAAAGAAGAAGATTTTTTTCGTTGTGAAAACACAAAAACGAAAAATGCTATCGACAATATTGGTTGGATTTTTATTCAGTCCAGCATTAACATATGCCATTGGTTTATTGATTACATTGGCCATTTTGATTGTAGCATGGATCGAATGGAATGAATATTCAATACGAAAAAAATTAATCAAACAAAATATTCGTTATGTTCGTTTGCCAAGCTTAAATATGGCATTAATGCGTGGTAAACGTATTGATCTGATTGAAATGGATTTATCCAGAAAATATGGTAAAGTATTCGGTGGAAATATGTTGAATGAACCGGTTATCTATGTTACGGATGCTGAATTGGCACAAATAATTTTAACAAGAGAATTTACAAAATTCGCTAATCGTCGAGTGAGTAATGCTTTTGTTTATCTTTTTCCTGATGATAATTCTGTTGTTTTCCCCAATCGAAGAATTTCGAAATCAATGATCCAGTATGGGATAATTTTCTATTTTCAGCCAACGATGAAAGATGGAAACGTTTACGTGCAATAGTATCACCAACATTTAGTTCCGGTAAATTACGTAAAGTAAAATATTGTATTGATGAAAATTTTGAAATTTTACGTAAAAATTTGAATGAAAAAATCCAACAAAACGATTCATCGGCTATAAACATTAAAGAAATTATCGGTGCATTTACATTGGATACAATCATACAAATATCGATGGGAATGAAAATAAATTCATTAAAAGAAAAGGATGCGCTGATATTAAAATATGCCCGGCAATTATTTAGTCGTGATGTACCATTAAACGATACGATTGTATTTGCATTAGCATTTTGTTGGCCAAGTTTATTGAAAATTTTGGGTCTAAAATTACAACCAGAAGCAATAAATTATTTTCGTCAATGTTCGTTGGAAATCATTAGGAAAAATCGTGAAAGAATTGAAAAAATGACCACAAATGAATCATTTCGTGCTACAAATTTCATTGAATTAATACTTGAAGTTGAACTTGAACAAAAACAATTTGAACAAAAACAATTTGAACAACAACAACAACAGAATGGAAATGCAGTGAAACCATTTAAACGTAAGATTTTTCAGTTTGATTTTTCACTTTGTTAATGAATTTTTGATTTTCGATTTTTGACTTTTCTTGATTCTTTTAGATGTCACAAATGATGAACTGATTGCACAATGTATATTATTTTTTACTGTTGGTTATGATACAACTGCAACAACAATAACACATACTTGTTATACAATGGCAACAAATCCAGAAAAACAGGAAAAACTTTATCAATCAATAATGGAAACATTGAAAAAATTAGCCAAAGAAAATGATGATAATGATCCATATAAATTGGTTACATTCGATACATTGAATCAATTTGATTATCTGGATGCATGTTTAAATGAAACAATGCGTTTATTAACATTAGCAACAACAACCGAAAGAGTTGCAACCGATAATATTCATATTGAAACAAGTGATAAAAAAATATCGTTCGATGTTCGGAAAGGTGATATTATACGTATACCATTCATATATCTGCATAATGATGAAAGAAATTTCTCTGAACCTGAAAAATTCATTCCGGAACGTTTTTTATCCAACGGGCAACAACAACAACAAACGAATGGAAATTTCAATAAAAATGCATTCATGCCATTCGGTAGTGGACCAAGAAAATGTGTTGCATCAAATTTAGCATTAATGGAAGCAAAAGTTGCTTTAATACATTTGTTTCGATTATATCGTTTAAGTGTTAATCCAAAATTAACAAAAATCCCGTTAGAATTTTATATTAATAATGGTGTTTTGGTTAGTAAAGATGTTACATTATCCGTTGAAAAACGATAATCGCCATTTTTAAACTTTTTTTAAAACTTTGTAAACTTTTTTTTTGTTGAAAATAAATATTTCGGGTCTCAAACTTTTCGAGTTTTTGGATTCTTCTATAGAAAAACGAAAGAAAAGAGAGAAAAAAATAACCTAAAAAACAACAAAACAAAAACAAAAATTATTTTCATGTTTCGGGTTGTTGTTTGTGTACCTGATAAAAAAAACCAGCAACAAAAAAACCATTGATTGCATCTAATATCTGTAACCTATAAGCAAAGAAAAAACTAGTCCATATCCAGGTAAACCAAGGTGGATTATTTTTAGACTTTGATTGTTTAATAATTAAAAAAACAAAACAACCAAAGAAACAAACAAACAAACAATAAAATATCAAACATACCTTGTTTTTTGTTTGAACATAAAAATCCTACATAAAAATGACAAATAAAACAAAAAAGGAAAGAAAGGAAAAAAAATAATTAATGAAAGTAGTTTTTTTTTCATAATTAATCTCTGGAAACAAAAAAAAAGTAGGTGGTTGGTTGGTTGGTGCTGTGATATTAACGAGGACATGTCAGGTATTTAATGTTTACCTGGTGTGTTCATCATCGGTAATTAAAATAACAAAACAACAACAACAACAACCAACAGAATATATTCTGATTAAATTGTTAATGTTTGTTGTTGTTGTTTTGGGACAGAAAATAAAACCAGTGAACAAACAAACAAATAAAAATCATAGGTCAACCGATTATCCCTGTAATAAAAATGAGCTTATTTCATCTCATTTAACCCCTTTTCTTCATTTCTGACATTTGTTCATCATCATTCTCCTGTCTGGCTATAGCCAACTAATTCCTGATTGATGATTGATTGAATGATTGAAGAAATTCCAACAAAAAAAATAACGTTGATATTTTGTTTCAACTTTTCGAACGTTTTTACCATTCGAACGTTTTCAAAACGTTCGAATGTTATGGTATAATTAACGTTCGAAAAAAACTTTTTTTTTTTTTTTTTTTTTTTTTTTTTTTTNTAAGTATTTTATTTTGTTTTTTGTATATATTAAATTTTAAAAAAAAAACAAAAAAAAAAAAAAAAAAAAAAAAAAAAAAAAAAACGTTGATATTTTGTTTCAACTTTTCGAACGTTTTCAAAAATTCGAACGTTTTTACCGTTTTCGAATGTTATGGTATAATTAACGTTCGAAAAAAACTTTTTTTTTTTTTTTGTTTTCCTTTGAATTTGAAAATTTTTAAAA